TATATATATACTGTATACATTAATTATGTGCAATTTTGTATACCAATTATACCTCAATAAAGCGGGGAAAATAAAATTTACAAAAAATGAATGAGAAGCCATTGGATTCGGTGTTTAAGGAATTCTTTGAAAAAGCAATTGCATGGATGAGATAGACAACAAGATTGCAGTAGGTTGAGTAATGAAAGGGATATAAAAGCTGTTAATATTGAGAGGGCCATGTATTTTCTTTCTTACCAACATTTGTTATAGATATTGATGAAGATCATAACAGAGAATTTAGAGTATGGAAAAACTGTGAATCAGAAAAAAAAGAGAAGCCATTATTATTTTCAAGCCCCTTATTTCTAATCTAGGTGTCCATTAAACCATTTTTGCCTAATAGTTGTATTTACTATGCCTGGGAGTACTTGAGTATTTTCACTGATTCACAAACAGATGTTTAGAGAATGACTGTGTGTTTCTATGGGTGGATGGGAAAGCTGTGAGGAAATAAATATGATAAAATGAAATTACATAAACCCCTAAGGAGAGTTTAATTTCCCATCTCCCACTTCCTGCCATCCAAGAAGGAATTTTAAAAAAATAAGGAAATAATGGGAAAAAAAGTGAGCAAATTTTAATGTTGCTAATATACCACTGCTTCTACACTGGCAACCTTTGTCATTTAATAGTGTGTTCTCTAGAGAGCTGGCAGAGTAATCAAGATCTAATGTGAAAAAGGAGAGAGAATTGAATGCATGAATCAAAAAATACTTTATGGGAAGTGAGATTGCCTAGAATTTCTCTTGGTGGTTTATTTTTTTACAGCTGCATGGTAAGCTTTTCATTTTGATCAGAAATTGCACCATAAAATCATAAAAGAATGTTCAAGTACTGAAAAGAGTCCTTTTTAAATACTGTCCTATTTGCTTCCTCATTTTGCTGATGCAGAATAGTAATCTGAGTGACTTAATTGGGTGATCTTTTTATGATAATTAAGTGAATTGATTCATCTGGCCTAGACTAATATCATACCTTTAAAATACACTAAACACATTATTTTCCAGTTATGAAAATGTAGTTAAATTTTTGTTTACTTTGAGATTTTCATTAACTGCATGACATTATAGTTATAGAGAGACAGAATAAAGAGTACCTGACCATACGATTTAAAAAATGTAACAACTTGAAATTCAGGGTCCTTTATAATATGGCCATTGATAGTCTTCCAAATGTCCAAGAAGAAAAGAAAAGTGTTTTTAAATCAGGTCTTACATTTTACCTGTTAAAATCAATTAAAAATCACACTAAAAGCCCTGGCCAGGTGGCCCAGTTGGTTGGAGTGTCATTCCTCGTTGGGTCACATTCCTAGGTTTCAGGTTTGATACCTGATTGGGGTGCTTACAGGAGGCAATTTATAGATGTTTCTCTTCTCTCTCTCTCTCTCTCTCTCTCTCTCTCTCTCTCTCTCTCTCTCTCTCCCTCTTTCAAAATATCAATAAACATATCCTCAGGTGAGGATGAAAAAAAGTTTCTAGAAAAAATTTCTACAAGCAAAAACAAAGATTATTTTCAAAATACAGTAAAAGGCAGGTTTAGCCAAAGTCACCAAAAGATGCTGTTGATCTTTCAGCAGTTTCAATTTCATTATTTTGCTTCTGATAGAATAGGTACTTCCCTGATAAAGAACTTCTGACTTACCTCTAACTTTCACCTTTTACCTCTCCTTCACTTATTCCATTTTCTTTTCCTGTATGTAGGAAAGAGAAGTTGTGGTTGATATTGATTAAAAACAAACAACAACAACAACAATAAAAATCCTAGCTACCTGGCTTTATCCCTCACCTAACTGCAAATGTTACAGAAGTAATAGATGACTCAGTTTCTTAATTTCAAGTTCTGTGTCCATCAAATATATTCATGGTTGAGCAATTTTCAAGATTTCTACTACTTTGAGAAGCAAATTGTTTAAAGTATGGGAAAATGAATATCTATAATGTTAAATTTCATAACGAAACCTTTTTTTAGCTTTATCTATTATGTGGGTGTGCACATGAAAAATAAATCTACATATAGTTACTATGGACACCACGTAGAATGCTCTCTAGTGAAAACTGATTAATAATTCCACTTTACTTGTTTAGTTTCCAATTGGCAAGGCTGATTTTGGGGGGCAATAACCAGAAACATTGGCAATGTTTAACTTTCAAGCTTTCGCTAACGTAGAAGCTATCTGTAAGTTAAAGAAAACATGCCTTATACAGCTGTATCACTTCACAACTTTTTATTTTAGGGATCCTCAAAACAGTTTTTGTTTACATCTTATAATTAACCATGAGCATGTTTCTGGTAAAGCAGAACTGTGTACAAAATTATGAGCAAGTGATTCCAGTAATGACGTTGTTGATGAACAAAATAACCCCTATTCTGAGGGTTCAGTACTAATACCAGCTATGAAACTAAACTTGATGACAATTTTCCTTCCCTTCATTTCATTTAGTTGCCGATTATGTAGGAATTGAAAAGTCTGTGATTTGAAATCTCTAAATAACAAATAGACAGTAGCTTCTTCTGTCTAGGAACCATTATTTTATTTTTAAAAAATAGCCCAGCAGGTGTGGCTTAGTGGTTGAGCATCGGCCCATGAACCAGGATTCTGGTCAGCAGGTTGAGGGCTCAATCCCCAGTAGAGGGCATACAGGAGGCAGCCAACTGATGTTTCTCTTTCACTGATGTTTCTATTTCTCTCTCCCACCCCAAACCTCTCTTTAAACTCAATAAAAATATATTTAAAAAATAAATTGAACTTTGCATTAAAACTCCAGTAAAATTTCCCTGGATGCTTAAACACTAATTATCTATGTATTCATACGTGAGTTCCTAGATCAACCATATTTTCCTCCTAATCATCCCCATGTTCATACAGAGCACACCTATATGTCTTTCCATGGAAAGGAATGGATTTGGAAAAACCTCAAGGGCTGATAAATATTATTGTTCTGCTTTATATGGCGAAATAAAATGTCAGTCACAAAGGGGCTAAAGACTTCCACTAGTATTTATGCAAATAATCTCCATAATATGGCTGTGCAGGAAGAACAGAGAGAAACATTGCTTCCCTGTTTTCCTAAGAAGTAGAGTTAGGGGTAATCTAAAACAGGCGGTTATATTGTAGATATCCTATGCTATGAACGAACCACTTCCTCTACCTCAACACAGAGAACCTTTTATAGACTGGTTTCTCTGGATTAATTTTTCTTTTATTTCTCATTTTTTTAAAAATACTGAATTTTGATCATAAAAATAATATATTTTCATTATAGGAAACATTGGAAAATACAATAAGAATTTTGGAAATAACCCTACGCCTCAGTGATAACCATTTTAAAAATGGAGGTGTGGGAAGTTTTTGACAGTGTTTTCTCTACATATGTACAATAGTGTGTGTGTGTGTGTGTGTGTGTGTGTGTGTGCGCGCGCGCATTCACAAACACCTGCTTTTTAAAAAAAATTGGAAACATGCTATATTTATAGCTTTATATCATATCATGTATTTGAAAATTATCACTTTTCTCTTATTGCAATGAGTAATGCATGTTCATTTAAAAATGTTTAATTATGAAAGAGAAAATGGAAAAAAATAAGTAAAATTAGACAAAAGGAAGAAAAATAAAAATTGCCTGTAATTTTATCCAGAAATAATAATGGCAATGTTTTTATGTAAATAGTGTTAGTTTTCTTTCTCCAGGAATATGTGCACATTTTTTAGTGTACCTACATAGTAGATTTTGTCACTTTTATTTATTCACTTTCCAATATATCATGAATATTTTATTAATTATCAACTATTTTTCTACTTCATTTTCAGTAGCTTCATTGCTTTTATTGTAGGGTTAGGCCCAACATGACTTCTCCAATTCTCATGGTTAAGCATGTAGGTTGCTTCCATTTTTTTCAGTTATAAATAACACAATGGTGACCATCTTTGTATTTTTACCTATCCACATTTAAGAAGTAGAGTGGCTCAACAAAGCATGTATGAAGTGAATTTGCCATATGTGTCTTTTAAAATAGATTATTTAATTGATCTTGACTAAAGCATTCTCAATAAAGTTTTGAGGAATGTAAAATGAAATCATGGCCTTTTTGTCTATGGAAGAGTCCAATGAAGTTGTTCCTAATGAGACAAGGGCTGATAAGGAGGAGGACCACCATGCAGTATCCGAAGATAATGTGGTATGTACATTTTGAAATTATTTTCTCATTACATGATGGATTTCAAGGATATGCTCCTAGTTGGTGATGATATTAGTATTTTCAAATTAAGGTATAACTCCACTTTAGAAACTAAAACAGAACCGTTACCAGGGAATTCTATATCGTTGACAGTTTAATAAATGAAATTTAAAGCACTGTCAATTTAACCCGAGATTTTTCAATTTAAGAGATTGCAAATATAAAAATCTAATGCTTACTACACATAGGATATTTTATACATAACAAGTTATTTTCTTCAACACATTTAGCATAAAGCAGATTTCTTCTCATTTCGTAGATGGCAGAATTAAAATAGAGTTTAGCCTGAGATTATGAAGGAAGCCTTTGTTGATTCTGGCACTTGTATCCAAGGATTCCTTACTCCAAGGTCTCTGTTCAGACCATATCTATCTTATATAGTGTGCTTGGAATCTTTTCTTCTTTCTACTTAATTGGACTCTTAGTTAGCTTAAAAATTGCATCAATGGAGGAAAAACAGTATTAAGCAATTGAATAGCAGGCAGAGACAAGCTATGTGTGGATTAAACTGGGTTTTGTACAAATATAAGCATTATTGGTATATAGAGCTGTCCTCTAAGGAGCTCTATTAGCAATATCTGTTTATATTCTGAGTCTTTCAAGTAATACAGATATCAAGATGGTATTAAAGTCAGACATAAAGGCAAATGTCATTGTGCTTTGCTTTTGCTTTTGAATAAGTGTTTTGTGCCTAACTGCAACTTTTTAAAAATGGCCCCTATGGGGCATGCTCAGAGCAGAGGGCCTGAGGAAATGGTTCTTTAGTTCACAACAGAGTCAACAGGAATTTGGGGTCATTGTGACAAGGAGAACAAAACCTGTGGCCTTACTATGAATAAGCACCCTACATGCGAAAAAAATATGGTCCCTATAATGGGTTTTCTGTTACAAAATGACTGTAACTTCAAGATTTACCCTGGCTTTAATTGCAAACATTGTTTATCAAACACTGTAATCTTGCCACACCTCCTTAATAAAAGTTAAGCACATAAAATACAGTTTTGTTCTTTTTTATTAAACATCAACAATATGTGTGTTTTCTACATGCACAATATTGTTTAGGATTGCATTTTGTTGATTTTAGTACTGACTTAAGTTGATGTTCCACCCTTCTAACACTACATTCAATGGGAGCATAGGAAAACAAGTTTTTATTTTGAGACAGAATCATGTTTTTATTATATAGGTAGTTATAACTGTTTCCCACGATTATTAATTGTGCTAGTATTCTTAAATCACACCAAGTAATAATCTTCTCTGCTCCAGATTTGAGCTACATTATACAAGTTACATATTGAACCTCTTTTCCCCTAAAGACATACTCATTTTATCCTGAATTTCTCTGAACTGGATCTCCCCTGCAGCAGACATTTGAAGATAATGAATGAAGAAATGGCATGGGGTGACCCACAGTCACTTAGGCACTTAAGTTTTCAAGAGCAATTGATTTTCAGAGACGAAAGTCCAGACTTTCAAAGGTTGATATGCTCTGCCTGTAGCTTTGGAGTGTCCCCAATTATTCATGCATACCAAGTCACAAAGACATATAAGATCTATTTATATGCACAAATCTATACAGTGGCCTTTGGTGCCTTCCTCCCTAGATTACTTAGCTACTTTATTCCAGAACCAATCAAAATATATTGAGAATCTTAAAAATAACATAAAAAAATGATCAAATCAGAGGTCTGCTGAGAGCTGACAGAATTAACTCCTGAGTTTATAGTGATTATAATCAAAAACAAAACATTAGATTCATCTCCAGGCAGCGTTAGAAAGCAATTTAATTGCAGCTGTCCTCCTGACTCAGAAGCCTACAGGTCACAACCCCTGTTATGGTATTGTACTCTCATAGAAAATATGTCAAATATGATCATTCCAAGATTGTTTGTGACTTTTAATCTATATATGTATATATATATATATATATATATATATATATATATATATATATATATATATATATATATATATATTTTGCTGGGTAGGAACTTGTTTTCAAATTCTGCCTACAATATGTTGCTATTAATGTGCTCCTTCTAAAAAGACTGCCCAGTGACTAATTCTAGCTTAACTTTTTTCTATTAAAAAATTCTTTTGGGTTGGCTGGGCTTAAACATTTAAAATTGTTTTTCCTTAACTCTGTTTTTCATATGCAAAAGTAAAAATTAGAGCTGGTTTTATGTTTTGGTTTTGCTTTTGGAAAAATGTTCCAGGATTAGAGAACTTGCTTTGCCCCAGGGTTGAAGCTTATTGATCATTCTTTTCATTAGTGCTAAGTTGTTTTATTTATTCTTTTGACAGATATTTAATGAGTGCCTTCTGTGTACAAGATACTGTACAAACTATTCTGTACCTTAACTCTAAAACTAAGGGCAGTTTAGCATCTCTCTCACTCTTCCTTCTTACTGTCCAGTGAAGGAAACACATAACCATGCTATTTTGATCATTACATCATACATGTCTGCTTTCAATTGTCTAGCTAATGGAGTGAAGTAAATAAGTGAATTGTTTAAAAAATGTATTTGACTTTGCAATTCATGTCTTATGTTGAAATTTTACATTAGAAATTGCAGAGATGTGTGAGGACTTAAAAAATATTTAAACCAATTAAGTATGGTTACCTTTAGATACACTACCCTTATAGGAAAACACTTCCCTGTCACTGGAGGGCACTATTTAAGCAGAATTTGAATGCCTGTTTTTTAAGGGATATTGTGAAAGGGTTTTTTGTTTGTTTGTTTTGTTTTGTTTTTCTATTTTAAGTAGTATAGCAGTAATTTCTTTTTAAATTAAATTAAATTTATGTATTGTTGACACTATTATAAATTTCCCCCTTATCCTCCCTTCAGTCATTTTCTATTTACTAAGCAGTAATCAATTGAAGATCGAGGGAAGGTGCTTAGACTCAACACTGGGTGTTAACACTAGACGACCTGTGTTTATTCTGGATATCCTAGACTAGATAATCTCTTAGCTAAAGCTGAACATTGAATGTATACACTCTATACATTGTTGAGTGTAGTGATGATGATAAAATCTATATTTATGAAAACTTCTCTGTGTTACAGAAAATAGAAATTATTGACGATGAAGAAAGTGACATGATAAGTAATTCTGAAGTAGAACAAGTGAATTCTTTCTTGGATTATAAGGTAAAAGTAATTTCAAATTGTGAATTCATTAAGAGAAGGTATTAGATGAGGCAGACTTCTACAGTACTTATGTATTGGTCTATTTCACTTCCACTTGATAAGTTAAACATGCTGGGCTCCACACTGACTCTCTCAGATAACTTCGATATCAGTCAGGCTGCAGGTCATTTTAATTAATACTGGCTGGCTCAGTGGCTATAGTTATAAGCACAAGGTTTTCTCAATAGGAGTAGGTATTGATGAGGTACAAGGTGATGCTGTGCATAGTGATGATTAATGTGAAATTTATGGCAATGCTTTTTTAAAACTTAATGTTCATTTTTAAGTGGTAATAAAAGGGATTTTTTCCAGATTTTTTCTTTGCTAATTTCATCTTAAATTATAACTTCTGAAGACCATTTTTAAAACATACAATAATATATCTCTTTTAGGAGAAGTTTAAAAACAATCCCTAATGCAAATACCAAATGAATATAAATAGAAATTACCCTTTCTGAATATCACTTGTTACTAAATTGAAAGACTTATTTTGACATCACATACAGAATTGTTTTTATTCAATTTTGAATTAAGCTATCAGTCCATATGTTAATACATTTTCTGCATATATGTATAATTGTTTTCCCTTTGTTAATCAGTATCACATCTTACAAGTTAACTTTGGGGTCTTCTGAAATTTTGGTCACACAATAATTTTTCCATACACAAAATTATTTTATTGAAATATCATAAGAGTTCAAAACAGAGACTAGTACTTAGATATTAACAGAAAATAACATAACTCTAATCAGAAAAAGACAACAGCTGTCATTTTCTCAAATTTTTTTCACTTTTACTATAATTCAAAGTTATGTCATTCAACAGATTTTGTTTTCCAAATGTGCATAACCTGTCAGATTTTAAAATATTAAATAGTGTAAACACAGAAGGAAATTATCTTTTGAAATTTGTTTTCTAAGTGGTCAAAAAGCACAATACAATCCTGTATTTAAACTGTATTTCCAACTAACAAAATTATAAAGTTTTCAGTTCTGAAGTACTAGAGAGCATTCTAATCTCTCCTACATGATCATATATTTCTAAATACCTGGAACAGGATTAAAATGGCTATGCAAGCCACTGCTTGGCACGGGTTATGGAAACTACAGAAAGATGTCTGGTTCGCACAGCTGTTAAGTGTGCTCCTCTTAACACTTTCAAGCAGTTCAGATAGGGTTGTGTCCAGAACTCTGAGGATTCTTTCTAGGAGCTTTCCCCTCTGGTGTTCCTTCCAAGAGACTTGAGAAATTTTGGAGCTAAAGGCCAGGGCAAGGCAGTGTGTCCAGTCCAGAAATCTTATTTAACATTTTCATTGAACTCTAAAAGACATTTAATGATCCAGGGTTTTCCATTGTGGTAAATGCTGTGGGAACAAGGGGCCATTCACTACCCTATTAAGGATAACTTTTATAACACATCACGATCCTACATAAATTTCTTTAACTCTCAACATCAGCCCCTGTATAGAAATATATATTTTTATAATCAATATTAAAAACATTTCAGTTCACTTCATCTGTGAATTTGTTACCTTAAAGTAAGGGTAAGTGAAACCTCATGTAACAGTTCTCATCGCTGATTTCAGGATGTTGATTTAAAACAGCCTCATCAGTTTGGGAATTTAATCTTTCTTCAGAGCATATTTGCATTTTATTTGCATACACATTAGTACTTCTTGTTTTGGAATCAAAATCACTTTGTAAGTTTCTTAAGTATAATTCCTTTTAAAAGCTTCTTGAAAGAAGAGATGTATTTATCTATGTGTTATCTGGTCTAGTGTTTAGCACATAGGTGTCCAATAACTAGTTCCTGAGTGAGTGAATACATTAAAGTATCGTTGGAAATATTTTTAATACTATTATGCAAGTACTCGTTTCTATGAAATCAATTAAGACAAGAAGCTGGATCATAATAACTTTTTCCTACACTAAATTAAACAGTCTCCCATTATTCTTGGGATTCATTGCAGCAGAATGAATGAATATTTCTGATGTGCATTTGATAATTGTTACTGTGTAACTATTAATGCTCAGTTTGGGTGTACTGGAGTTTCTGATTGAAATATATTCCTAAAAATCCATATTGCTAGGAGTTCTAACTAACCCAAATGCTTATGAGACAAATTAGTGATCCCTGAGGCATGAGTACTATATCATAAAATAACACCTTGAATGTTCCCTACAATCATCTTGGAGAAGATTTTAATGATACAAATGAGCTAGATATTGTTTTCTGAAAGTCAGTGGCTGATGTTACCTTACTAGTTCTTCTCACAAACACTCCATTTACTTAGGAAAATCTCTAAAGTACACATCATTACTGCTTCTAGTCTTGGAAGTTTTTAATAGACTTGCAAAATGCAGCTCTAAGAAAAAATGTCTGCAATATTATCTTAAAGTTGTTTATGTTTATCAAACATTGCATAAATACTGAGGAAGAGCAATGTTCACATTAGAAATTAGAGATCTGCATATCAATAGATGTTTCATGACTTTTGCAAATGTGAATTACTGTTTTTAATTTTTTAATGGACTATAAATGCCGCTTAAAAGGACTGTATATTCATTGGAGACACTAAGATAATGATGATCGATATCTCCTGTATTCAAAAAGACTTCCTGGTCAGCACTTTACTCATACTATAGTTCTGACAATGAA